AATTTATTCTATTCATTTAAAAAAAAAAATTACGTTCGCTTTTATACCTGAAAATATTACTCCTATAATTTATTGAAGTTATGTAATAAATACACATCATTTGATGTCCAGCTCAGTTAGAACATCGTATATGTAAATTTGTTAGACCATTGAGTGGGGGTTGACAAAAATTAATGGGACCGTGGTGTACAGCGACTACTACACACGTGATAGCCACAGCGTTCCATATCGGTTATTATTTTATAAAGAAAAAACTTAAAAAGATTATAAACATGTTTGATTTTTTTCTTTTTTTTTTTTTGTTTATTAATACAATTTATAATAGATTACGATTTACGCATATTATTAAGTATTATATTCGTTGGTATATAAATTATTTTTTGAAACTTTGTATAAATATTTCAATACATATCCTACTATAATAATATTTTAGACTTAATTTTTTTTCTAATACATTTTTGCAAGATTGCACATCGCCCTCTTTAAACACCACGAGCCGTTACTGATTGGGGCCTAACTTTGATGCGCTGATTTATATACCACTCAAGACAAGAAAAGAGTTTAGAATTATGTTTGGCCCTAATGCTATTTTTGTTATGGTGTCCTTTGCATGCACTTATTACAAAGTCTGTTCTATAGACACAGATCATGTTCTTAGTTTTAAGTTTGGTAATAGGTAAATTAACTCGAATTCTCAAACTAACAACACAAGATTGGTTCTATTGAATGTAATTTTCTATATAACTTGTAGGTAGGTCAGAGGAGAAAACAAAAATTAGTGTGATGATTTCTTACAGTATTTTGATGTCCCATATAAAATTGTTCAACAAAGGTGTTTTTTAGTTCTAAAAATAATTATGTTATATGTAAGACCCCAAATTACTGATGTAGTATGTTTAAGTATAACAAAATTTACGAAATTAATAATTTGACTCATAAAATATGTTCATACACACATTTAACTCCATATAATTAATTGACCATCTTTGATAATTGAGTAAAACGAATTTAAAAATTAAAAAAAAAAATTTTTCAGCTTGCTTTGCGTCTTTGAGATCGACCATTATAGTTGAACTGACCGGTCTTGAATTGCTTACAAATGCTTTCGGCATCCTATTGATGTTCCAAGGAGTAGCAGCAGCCATCGGATCTCCGTTATTAGGTAAATTCAAAAATCAAACTTTTTAATAAATACTCTAATTGCCAAGTAGATGATATATTTTGAGAGCTTACAAAGTTAACAATTTAAGTACCTATCTACCCTTTTAAGCCAGGTCAGATTAGGTTTAATTTACATCAAATTTATTTTAAACATTTTAAATCATGAAATATAAAATATGATTATTACCTAGTACTTAGGTCCTACACCTTAAATAGACAATTGACTTTTTCGATCGATTTTTAAGTATATATAATATAGTCAATATGGTAAACATCAAAATTGTTAATTAACCTAATATAGTTATACTAAGTTGTTGTACTGAAAGAGGTAAACTTCGTTTTTTATTTATCCTCTATCCAAATATTTAATTTTAATTGTTCATATTAACCTCTATTATAGCAGTAATTCTTATATTTATCAAAAATAAACGAATTTACTATCCTATTTTTCATAAAAATTATCAAGAATAGGTATTAACCAAGTCATCTATTATAAAATATATAACAAAATCAAATGGCTTAAGCTGGTGACGACTCGAACCTTGATATGTCAGAATTATCATTATATCTCAATTATATTAAAATTATATTATCTCCTTCAAACGCCATAACACTTAATTGATTTTCAATACTTCGAAGTTTTTAATAACTTGAATATTTTCTCGATTAAACTTGGATCTATAAAGAAATAATTATCTGTTATATTTAAATTAATTAATAAATCGATATCCACAGAAAATAAGTATTATAATTTATATAAGTTAAAGCGATTTTCTCAGGAGTACTCACGCAATTACTTGACTATAATATGATGATAAGTCTATTGATATAATACGGTAAAATCAAATACAATTGCCGGTAAATAAATATATTTTAGAATTTCTTATTTTCTGTTTAATTGTATTTTGATCACAAAAAAAAATGTGTAAACTCAATCAGATATCACCAATTATATGATACATTTAAGTATCCAAATACTATTTTTTTTATTTATTCTTTGTTTTTATTTATTATATTTGTATTTATTTAAGTAAAAGTAAGATACTCAATATAAAATAATAAATAACTATTTACTATGGGTGTAAAAAAAAAATATTTTCGATATCATTAACAGTATTTGATATCGTTATTGTTTATTATTCAATGCCAAAGTATAATATTAATACCTTCTAAAAATATATCGCATTGGCTCCTGATTAGCAGAGCTAAACTTTAACTAAGTTGTAGAAACACGAATATATGTATAACGAGTTACTTTTTTTTTATGTATCTTCTAACTTTACGATTTAATTTTTTCCATGATATGTATTTGACATTAATCAGTGATTTAATTTTTAAGTCACATTAAGTTCATTTTTATCCTAATATAAACAGCACAGGTTTATAATGTACGATTTGTTTTTTAAAAATATCAATAGGTATCAAAATAATGTATATAAATACAATCATCTATTTGAAATAAAATGTTCATAGAAAATTACAATTTCAACCTAATATATTAATTATTATTAATACAATAACGATAACACTAATAGATATGGGTTATCAGGTAATTTCCTAGCTTGATGTTTAAAAAAACATTAGTGCTGTAATCCTCTTAATAATTAACCTAAATAATAAAAAATATTTTATAATTTCAATTAGTAGGGTTCTATCATTGAATGGTCTTGCTCTCTGTTAATTTTCTGTCAATCACTTTTATAAGTACCTATTATTTCTATTGTTAATTAATTTTTTATTTTTTTATTAGTTATAAAAAAAATTAAAATTCGAGTCGATTTTAAAACCAACTCGCGCATCTTCATTAACCAAATTCAACAAATTACACAAATTAGTTGAATTTACCATCCTTGTTTACTGTTATAAATGGTTAGCCCGCTGGGCGCCAATGTTAGATAATACGTACGCTCGCTGCAGCCACCGTAAAAACATTCTAATAACAATTGACTTTACAGCTCCAAGTGTCAAATCTTAATTTATTTATTTTATTTATATACGCAGGGCTGTTCAAAGACTGGACTGGAACCTACGATATGTCGTTCTATTTATCCGGAATAATATTGACCGCATCGGCAGTCATATGCTATCCGCTGAGAAGAGTCAAAAAATGGGAAGATGACCGAAAACTAAGACGACCAAGTACCGTTTGACCGCGACACCGCCGCTATCGCTCCGAGGAGATAAACAAATCTGATTCTCACCTGCCATATACATTTTATCTGTCGATCGCGACAACATTTTATATTATGATATCCGTCGAGGGTGTTTCTTGTGCTCAATATTATATAATATTATATTACCTATAACCAATAGAAATTTGTATATTTTGCGTCCTCAGATGACAGTTTTTTATGTATACGCGCTACCACTCATGTAGGTGATCATCGCGATGATAATATAATGTAATATAATATTATATGTATTGCTATGTTGTAAAATTTGACTATATATTATTGTAATTGTTATACGTTATGAATCATTATTTTAATACATTATTGTATATTTAAAGTGTATAATATGTTGAATGTGATGAGTAAAATTGAAAAATAAAATTGAACTTCTTTTTACGGACTTTATAATTAATTATAAGTTCTAGAACTTCATTTGGGATCGTAAATTTTCGAGCATATAGTGAATCAAAAATTGTTTAAGGAATAAGAACAAAATACTACAATAACTGTGGTCTACTAAACTATCTATTTTTAATATTTAACGAGTTATAAAAATTTAACTCAATTAATTTTGGATAGTCAATCCTTACGCTATTAAAACACAAAAAAAATATATTTTTAAAATAATATAAATTGTATCCTTTACAATCTAAATTATGTGTTTGTTATTATACTTTTTGTTGTTATCTAATATATTGTATTACCATATCAGTATTTATAATATATATAACATATTAACAATATATACTTGTTTTAAAGAGAAAATTACATTAAAATAATAAATACTTAAACATAAAATTAAATAACGATTACTAAATATATTGTCTAATTTAAAGATATTTAAAAAAAGCCTAGGATAAAAATTTATTGGTTGGATAAATATATATATTAGTAAGCTGTTAACAATTTTTAGTGAAATAATAATTAATTAGTGTAATATGTAATAATCGACAAAATATTATAATAATTAATACTTAAAGGTCTTGTATTAAATTGAATTTTTTTAATGTCGGATTCCCATTATTTTTTGAATAATGAATTCCTATAATGATTAATTTTTTAAAAGCGTTACAGTTATTAGCTATACTTTTCGTCATCGTAAAATTTTTTTGTAATGTAATTTAATTGATTTTTTTAGAAATTATTTTATTTTAATATGCAAGAAACTACTACAATACTTATATTTTATCGTTAAACAAAAATATATCTTTAACTACATTTTCTAGTAAAAAATCTATTTCTTAGTTTGAATTTTAGGAATTCTTTTAATAAGTTTTTTTTGCTATATATTCATTAAACCAAATTTTCATATATAAACTTTTTTGGCACGCAATCTCGATGCGTTTTTTTGCGAGTAAAAAAGGTAAAAAATATTAAAAAATCACAGTATGCACTGACAATTTTAATATCCCCCTGAAATGTACGTCCAGTTGCGCCTTTATATAGCGCTCTTACCGACATTTTTTAGTGCTTAAGGGACATCCGAAAGATTTTATTTAACTTTCCTGCACTGTCCACCCACAGGTTATATAGGTTAAGGAATATCGAGTGTTTCGCGATAAAAGAATGGCACTGCAGTACATGGATAGGTGGTGCCTAACAATTGTGTATACACAAACGCCATTAGCGACAATATCGATTTAACTCAACCAACACGCTAAGGTAACACATTTATATGAATGCGAATGCATAATATTTTAAAATAATTTAATATCAAGTCAGTGCGCATTAGAACGTATTTAGTAATACTTGTCTTAATCTGATTCCGATATATACCTATACCCGAAACAATGGATAGGTTAAGAAAATACTCGACAAGTGAAGCGAAAACGTTGCAATACATTTATGAAGTAAGTACCTACTTATTGTATTATGATATCGTTTTATAATTTTGTAGTAATCATTTTTAATATACATGTTTATCATTCAACTTCACGTGTACGTGTACCTATATATGTCCTATACACAAATAGATAATAATTTAAAAATAATTGTTGAATGAGATGATTAGTTACTACGAGCTCAGCACAACATACTTAAACTACGACAGTATAATAGTTATAATAGCTATACATTTATTGAAGATAATTAAATAATTTTAATATTATGAGAACACTTTCTAAGAGCGATAGACTATTAGAGCGACATCAACGGCAGTACCGAAGTCAATTTTAACACATTATTATTTACCGTAAACAATAAAATTCTCAAAATTTTTGCAGCTAAAACCTACCAGTTTACATCGTTTTACAATATTTTGATATTGACTTGTAAGTTAGTAACAGCTACAAAAAAAATAAATATATTATATGAAATAATATGTTATAATTATGACCAGGGCTTATAAATTTATGTACTAAAAATATATATAAATAAGCTTGCGCACAAAAATTTTCTGAAAGATATATAAGCTTATACATGCACTAAAAATCTAAAACTATGCACTTAATATATATGTGTAGAAAAAAAATCAAAAGCAAATTTTATAATAACAATAAATATATTATATTCATAATTAAAAGTTTTATTTTATTTTACAAGATTTTCATCAATTGCATTTCCCTGAGCTATTTACTAGTGTATTACTATAAAACTAATAAAATGTATACAGTGAAACTTCATAAAATAATAGAAATAAATCTAAACAATTATCATAGTAAAATTTATAATCAACTACAATCAATAACAAGAAACACTCGATACCTACTATACACTTCCCTGACCATTTTTATGATATTAATTCAAACTAAAAATATTTTTTTTCTACTTCTTTCTAACTATATTACTTTTAGCGGTAGCGGCGGGAAGTATATAAAATTGAATTCAGTACTTTATAAAGTAAGTAGGTATACAAAATATTGATTTTACATAACAATATTTAATCTATTTAGAATAGGTATGTTGTATTTAAAATTTTTACTGAAACTAAAAATATAATTATTGTTTTCTTCAAAATAAATATAAATTATCAAATTTATGAATACGTATTTTTTAATCAACATAATATTACATTTTATACAAATAGTAGAACATATTAAGCTTTTAATTTTAATTTGTAGATTACATTTTTGAATACATCATTTTAATATTTATTGCTTTTTTTTAAAAATGTCTATTATGCGAATGATTTACCACGATAACCGATTAGTCGCAAAATAATCATCGTTTAATCAAACTATATTGAAACCACGCAAGATCATGAATGAGTAAAATAATTACTGTGGTGTAAGTAACAGTTTTGTGTGCTGTCGATTTTAAAAATTTTTTAGGAATATTATTTTAAATTTTGTTAATATAATATTTAGTTTAAAATTAAAGATTTTATATTTATTATACCTTACATAACTAATAGAACAAACTAAAGACGAACATCAATAAGTAAAATAGTACTTACATACTTATCATCCTAAATATTATAAAATATTGTCATTATATCTTTTTTGACTATGTTATTCGATGATTTGCCAGTTTTTATTGTCCAATAACATGACGAAGACTTCTGCTTGTTTCATCGAAGAATGCTGCAAATTAAACATGCCAGCACCGAAACTTACTGCAGAATCCACCGAAACTCCAAAAAGTAATCTGGTTTACTTGTCCAAAGATCGCGCTGCATCCATTATACAGTCTTTTAAATCTGCATCCAGGTTAACGTTTATGAAGGTAACAACTATTATTACTAAATACCAGAGGATTGAATTTATGTACAATATTAAATAATAAAATATTAATTTCACGTTGTTGTAAAAATATACTAAAGTAAGGAATAAAAATATATAAAATACAAGTCTTAGGAAGTTATGTGTTTCAAAGTAGTCTTACTTATTCAATAAAGATCATGAAAAAATTTAAATTCAGTTACAAATCAAATAGAAAAAATAATGGATTTAACTTAGCTAAAAATCAGTTGGTTTTTTTTAATCTAAATAATTATAATCTTTGCTAAATTTGATAAATATATTTAATAAAAATATTTATATGTAAAAAAGTAATAGAAAAATCAATAAATATAAGAGTAATTAAAATCCAAAATAATATTTTATTAGCGCTTTTTATGTTCATATTTTCATAAAGTAGTATTGATATACATTATTTTAATCCCTAATCCACATTCGACACTTCAAAAGTGTATAATTTAGTATTAACGATACAAATAGCAATTTTTCTTTTATAAAAAAAATAAATAATACGAATTAAAGTATATTTTAAACAACCTATGTAGCGTTCATATTAGAAAATATTTAACGCAACTATTAAATTTATTAACTTCTTAGTAACTGCATATCAATATTCAATGGTCAATGGTGCTAATCATTTAATTAGTTGGCAAATAGTTACTTAAAAAAAATAAAATAATTCATTATGTAACTTGGATTAAAAATATTTTAAATTTAACATTTTAACTCGTAAAGTTAAACAATATTTTCAGACGTGGGACGATTTATCCGACGAAATAAAACAGATTGATGAGTATCGAAAATTGACGTTTTACCTTCATGTTTACTACACCATATTGGAATGTAAGAAACGTGTCAACAAATCGGAAAACTGTAGTGACAATAATTGCGATGAAAATGACGAAAGCTCGATGGCCGCTTTTCGCACTTTCTTACTCCAGAGAGGTGCCGAATTCAGTACCGAAAACGAATTTTTACCGTACTTCGCATTGCCATACGTGTTTGAACCGATGCAACACCCATCGTTTAAAAATTTATTCAAAGTACGGTTACAATATTAATTGTTATTTTTTTAACTTGCTACAGTATAACCAAAGTTTATTATAATATGTTTTTATTACTTTTTTTTTTTTTTAATACGTGTTACATTCCGATCGTTCTTTTAAACTATTTTAAATATAAACAAAATACAATTTAATCGGATTTAAACAAATTTAAAATAATAGTATGAGTATAAATAACAAAAAAAGAACATTTATAATCTAATGTATGAAATTAAAGGAATATAATTAATTATAGTATGTTTATATAACTACTTTAATTAGTTCAAATTTATAATAGAGGTATGTTAGAAATTATGTAAATAATAAATTGATGACTGACGCAGATATATTTAGTTGAGATTATTACAGACATATCCAGATTAGATAATAATTTAATACTATATAATAATTATTAATAGAAGCATTAATTTACAACTAATATTAATCTCATCAAGAATTATATATATATATTCGCTATAATTATTGTTATGTAGCGTAGTCGAGGAAATGATCAGTTAATATTAGATATCCAATGAGAGTCGTAGGATCCTGTGGATATAAATACTGTAGCCGGGGTAGATAGAAATGAAAGGATCGAAAATATATTTAAATAACCATGGACTCTATGGCAGTTATTATTATTACATTGCCTACAAAATACTTTGACATTCAAAAAAATATTAATGAGACTTATTAGTATAATTAATTTAATATTATCAATTGGGCTGCTATAATCGATAGAATTATAGTATATTTTAAAATTTATATAAGACTGAATTCTTAATAAATTATTATACGAGTACAATAAAAATAAAAAATAAATCAATAAGTAATTGTAAACAATTTAAATAAAAACTCGAAGTAGCTAATTTCCAGTAGATACTACTAATAGGCTCAAAATTTTATTTTTTATTTGTTTTAAATAATTATTTATTTTACATTACTTAAATGATTTGTTATACATAATTTTTTTTTTTAAATCATGTTTGATTAATTTAGATGTTTTAAACATTTGAACTTTAAGCATAACATGATATTATAACATACTATGTCACTGTATTTTGAAAACATAAGAGATTTTATTTGTTTTTAAACGTATGTTCGTTTCAAGGAAAATCGATGGTGTGATTCGCTAAACAAAAGATTGGAGAACTTTATTTTGGATATCTCTATTAATTCGTCGATTATATTAGTGCCCAGCAAAGATGCAGGAAAACGAAAATTGACGAAAAAAAAATTTAAAACGCTGTATAAGGAATATAAACCGCTAAATGGTGTGTTAAAATTCAACTATGTGCCTATATATTTTGTATCGAAAAATGTTTAAAAACTATGTGTAATGTATATTATTATAATAATAGCTTTGGCCGCTGAACTTTTGAATGCTTTGGAAAATTCGATTCGTGGACAATCGATTAATTTGGAAATTATTTTAAAAAATTGTAATACTCTATTGGAAAACAACGATGATAATAAAGTTAGTGTTGTTTTTGGTTTTATCGTGTAAATAATACAATTTTCCACCATTCACCATTATATTAATTGTATTATCTTATTTTTACAATATTTTTGTTGGTAATATAATATATCTTAGCAAAATTTAGAAATTGTTGACCACCAATTCGATTTGGCCATTTTTAAAATTAAACTTGAACTCCGAGATGGTAACAGTACCAAGAACAAATTACTTATCCTACAAGCTTTGCGTTGGGTAAGTACAGAACCATATTATAATACGTATAACATAATACGATAAAATCTAATTTATCTGTTTTATATTTTTGGAAGAGGCTAACCAAGTCTGAAAACAGAACCCACACAGTATTAATGATAAAAAAATACGATCTATTGGATTTATGCAAATCTAAAGCTGAACAAGGACTCATGAAATGGCTATTGATGACAAACGGGCCACATCCTCTACAACAAATGATATCTAGACTACTAAACGCTCTGGCGTCATATAATAGGGGCCGCAGATATTTGACGGGCTCTCCGTTTTTACTGCGTCTGATCATAACTCAGCTTATATCGTCACAACATTTTTGGGACACGATCACGAGCAACATGCTGTTGGGAACGTTACAGAAGCTCAGTACGGGGTAAGCCACATATTATTTTTAAGTATGATAATATTTTCATTTATCTATTTATATTTATTGCGCTTGAAATAAGATTGACTTATGAGTAATATAATAATACCATACACTATTTAATTGACATTTGCAGTGTCTACGTAGTAAGGGACAGCGGAGCAAGTTGATTAATATGGCTTTAAAAAATATGTTTTTAAAAAGTAAATAAATAATGCAAAAAGATCGTTTTTTCAGATTATTACTAAACTTTAAACTATACTGTAATCCGAATCATCAAAAACGATTTGGTGGAAATCAAATTAAAAAAAAAAATCATTATTAAGAGAAGTATAGGAATTGTTAAGATATTTAGAATATCCGCGTGACTTGATTGAACAGAATTCGTTGAATCGTCTATCATACAAGTGCAAAAATTATACTTCTAATGTTTGATTTTTTTTTATTTAAATATATAATTTTTCGCGTGTTTAATTTTTTTCTGTTTAATATTAACAATATTTTCCGTTTATAATTATATACTTTAATGTGCTTCTCTAAGATATCTTTAATGTATAGTAATAGATCTCAAAAATATCAAGAAATAAATTGATGTTTAAATGTAAATTACATCAATAAAAATTATTATCTAATAATAACGCAACACGCGCTTATATTATCATTTATTTGTTCATTGTATTATTACAATTGTATCGTGAAAGTCGTAAAGAACAAGGCGTCAATAGTTATCTAAAATTCCAAGTGAAAAAACTAATATAATGAATTGTTTAAATATTATAAACTGAATAGTTATTTCAAAAACTGTATTTGAATTTATAAAATAATACATAACAGAACTTAAATAGAAAATAATAATCCACAATTTCCCCATTAAAATATCATCTTGCTCCCCCCCCCCCCCCCCCCCCCCCCCCCCTCCCAACAGACAAGATGACGAAATTGGCAGACCTACATAGATTATTTTTAAGACATAAAATATTAAATATTAAGAAACCAAATAAATTACTATTTACTCTTATTATAATTAAAATTTTTTGTAAAACAATCAAGATAATCTACCAACTAGTTGTAGCAGAATGATCATTGGAGCCAAGTCAAATTTATTAATTGACATAAAAATATAATTGAATAAACAATATGTTAAGTTATTATACTTACTACTTAACTATAAGTCTGCTGGTAATAATTCATACAGTAAAATTATAAATTAAATTTGAGATAATAGATCGGAATAATCAGCATAATTTTTAATCGATTTATAAAGAACATCAAAAAAACAATCGTTATTTAAACAGCAATTTAAAGCCATAATGGAAGAAGGGAGAGTTATACCATAATACATTTTTTTTTGTAATTTACATAATCATTCACCCCTTCAATGTCCGTCCTATTAAAATAGCTCATCCCTAGGAATAAATTTAAAAAAAGATAAATAAAACCAGAATTTAGTAATCTACGATATTTTGATCAAGTTTCTGGACTTAGTGCGTTAACTTTTAAATATGTTACTGTGTAAATTTTAAATATATGAAATTAAATTTGACATGTCATCAAAACCATATGTAGGAAAATATACAATTATTATACATCATAATGAAACGGATTTGTATCAAACCTTAATATCGACAAGTACCCGTGTTAAATCGTAACTAACTAAAAACAAAAAATAAAATACTAATTAATATATATATATTAAAGAAAAATGTAAGTACTATACAATATTTACAAAATGTAAAAATTCGCTCCTCTTTCTAGTAACGTCTATAGTTTTAAGTTCTGTGTGATTCATATATAATACATTTATCACACACTATTGTATAACATACTTATGATGTTTAAGTTCGCGAGCCCGTAAAAGGATGATCGGAAATGGTTTAACAACTTGGCTGGCTGACCAGCTCGTTCGGAAAAGCGAATTCACCGGCGACCGGAACAAATACGAGATGTACGATCTAGAATATAGTTTGGCACTGTATATGAACCTTTGCCAGTGTCAGTCGGCCGTCCGGGCTTGTGGCTCACGTGCTCGTAACCTATTCAAGAGCTTAAGCGTTTTTATGACTACGTTGGACGTGGACGTAAGTGGAAAAAAATAAACTCAACACAAGAACATACATAATTATTGTTATTTGTATACGAGTGTACAAAACTACAGGGTCATAACTCATTTTCCAAGCACACAATGATGACCAGTAAAGACGTATTTGAAAAGACCTAAGATTGAATTGCTCTATCCCATTACTTTAGAGCAACAGAGTAAGGCCTTGATTTTTTTCCCTGTTTTATTTATAATGATTGTGTCTAAAATAGTTAATAATAAAACATTATCAAATTCGCATTCTATAAGCGTATTATGGGTTTAGAGCACTAAAAGTTTGTTAATATACATTTATTTTTAAAAATCGACTATTTTAATTAGAGAAATAAAAGACACATTTTTTCGTAACTCTAGTGTATTTTAACATTATGCAACAAGTTTAGTCAAGTCACAAGTTACTAATAATAATTAATATTAAACGTTTAAAATATTTTTACATTATTCTCATAAGAGCATAGTTTATCTCATTTTTAACTTGTGTGGTATACATAAATATTAAAAACTTAATGCCATTGAATTATTACACTAACAAATGTGTCTGAAATAAGACTTTGATTAAAATTTTAATTAATTTTTGTAGGTAAAAAAAAAAAACTAAAGCAATTTTTCATTATTTTAAAACACAAAAGATCATTCTATGTTTGTAATTAATGAAATATTATAACAATCATTGTATTCAAACTTAATGTATGACACGTAAAATGACATTAATCTGAATCATTACATATGAGTACATATTCAATGATAAGTGACATTGATTTACTGATTTTCCAACAACTGTAAACACATTAATTATAGTATGGTTTTAAACTATTAAATATTGTGCAATATAATATTATATTAAAAAAAAAAAACCTATATTTAAATTTTTATTACTTATACATAATATGTTTGAATTTTTCAAAAAAGTTTAACAATAATTACATGGAGGCCTTAAAATATATTTTTAAAAACATTAAGAAATAATTTTTTTGTCTGCCTAAATTTCAACTATTTGAAAATTGGATTTTTTCGTGAAATAAAACAAACCACACTACAACAATAATGTACCTAAATAGCCTATCCATAACGCCGTGTGTTCATAATAATAGTATAGATTGTTCAGTTGTATACGAAGTATCCTCCCCCCCTCCCCACCAACGATTTCTAAATTACACCAGAAATATTTTAAACTGTAAAGCTCAAATTAGCTTTTTGAATTCCTAAGTTCATATATTTAAAGCTACGGCCAAAATTAACGAAAAAGGCTAACTTCACACACATGTTCAGTCTAACCTACTTACATAATCAAAATTTATAAATCTTTCTTGTTGATGTATAGGTCATGCCTTGCATATCTGGCATCTTGTACAATTTGTTCAAAAACCCAGAGATGATAGCCGTTGCTAAAGAAGAAGGGATTACCGCAGTCGTGGAAAAAACAATCGAGAGCAACATAAACGCATACCCTTCGGCGGTCGAGCAGTTAGTTGACGTTAGAAATATTTTGATACAAAATGAGCATCCGGCTTTCGATCATTCGTCATCGGATGATGACTACGATTATTTCAACGACGATAGCGGCAACGATGAGTATGACAGCAGCAGTTCCGACGAAAATAATACAGTACATATGAATGTTTTAATAATAAATAGAGATATTGTGGGTAGATTTAAAATTGTTATAAGGGATGGGTGGTGGTGCTATGAAAAAAAAAAATTGAATTAATTGTTTATAATATATGAGTATTGTACTCATACAGCCACGAATATATACTATATACAGTATATAATATATATGCACATGATTAAATGAGTAAAGACTTGAAAAACCAGGTAATTTAAATAAAAGCAATGATTCAATATTACGCATTCACAAAATTCAAACAAAGTTAAAAATCGAAATAAAGTATATATTAGTATAAGTATAACTATTATACTGTTAAAAAAACTGTGATATTGTAACTAATAAGATAAATCGTTAATTTCGTCAAGTAAATTATTTAATTAAAATGTATATTAATACAAATGGGCAATTAATTGTTCATTATATCGCATTCTTCTTTTCGCTTAATTATACTTGGGTACCGGACATTTTTACCGTTAACATTTTATTTTTTAGATTTTTTTAACCGAATATTAAAAGTTAACTTGTTTGCACGTGGTCCTAAATAGAGAGATAGCGTGAGAAAATAATATTCACTGAATACATTTAATCACCGATTAGAATGGAAATGTATAGGTCCCAATTAAAGTACAGATTCATACATATACTGAGTGATTCTTTTATCAAACAGCATTCATAATTTCAAAATGTATTAATGTTTTTTGAAAATATTATTTTTACATAATTTCCAATCAAACTAAAATAAAGTTTAAAAAAAAATATATTTTTTTAAATTGTTATCGTTATAATTTTTTAAGTTTTTCACTTTTTTCAATGATAAGAGCATACATGTTATATTTTAGAGTAAAATATTTTTCTGAATACGTATAAATTGAAATTCGACGAGTAGTTTATGAGTTAAGCTTAACTAATCTTTAAATACTTATAACTCATAAACAAACTGTCAGAATTTCAATTTTTATACATCTAAAAATTTTCATTCCGAAAAAAACATTTTGCTTTAGAATATGAAATTGAAAATCTATATTTTCATTAAAAAAAGTAAAAAAAATTAGCAATAAAAATATTATAAAATTTAAAATATGTCTTAAATAATTTTCCAATTCATATAATTGAAAATTATATAAAAAAAATAAATATATTTTCAAAAACAAATTAATTTTGAAATAATGGATGTTATTCGATAAAAAAAAATGCCTAATATATGCACTTGACGAAAGAACAGAAGAAGGAATTTCAAAACTGAATCAAAATTTATTTCATTACTTTACAATTTTTATCAGGATAATAATTTTAAATAACTTTTGTTACAATAATGATATACAAATTATATAATTATAACTATTAACTAGAATGTATAGTTATGACAATATATATTAAATTTTTTTCCGTATATTTTATTTACAACAAGGATATTACCTAATTAATTTATTATATTATAATATAATTAATCGAAAATTAACAAACTTGGAACTATAAAAGATATTGAATAGTATTTAATTGCGTCGTCTTCTATGTAGGACGATGTCGAAAACTTGGAGGCAGAATTGGACGAAGATGATCCACTAAAAATTCAGCCCAACGGTGAAGATTTTCTTTCAAACTACAAAGCGTGTGACAACACAAAATATACAACTTCAGATCGATACAATAATAATAATAATAAATAATAATGTCAATCGATCGAAATGCTGAGCACCGTCACATGATGAATGTTTAAGTAAATCAATGCATTTTCAACAGCCACGCATAATATTATTATTTATTTATTATATTATATCAAATTATATTTTTCTATTTTACCTCAGTACGTTATTATATAATAAGCTCTTTGTTATTATCGATAAGAAAATATCGAATAGAATTTTCGTTAATTAAAATATATATATATATATATTATTATTATTATTACTTTTAATTTTTATTATATTTAGAAGGATGGTTTATCCAATTACAACATTATTTCATTAATTAGCCTTATTTGTCTCGTATCTAATGATTTGAGATTTAAAAAAGTCAGTAATGGCTGGTAAAATAATGTGAATGTTTAATAACATTACATCTAAAATATACTGTTCTTAAAAACCGATTTGTATTGATTCTATAGCGTATGTTGAATCGACTGCACTTGGTGACTAGACTATAAATTTATGATCAAGAATTTAACGTACATATCATGTGTAGTATAATGACTTAACACAATTAGATTTTTAAGTATTTGCAGCTTCGAGATTTAAAACCTAACATAGATGACGCTTTGCTTTTTACGTGTGTATAATAAATTTTAAAAAATAGAAACGTATTAAAAAAGTATACCAAAATTCTTATTCTGGTTCACACGTGATTCAAATAATAATTATGAAGATATGAACATCGCTTTTTTCGAAAAAAGTCATAACTTTACATTTGAAAGCGTTTAGATATCATTTATTATGACCAACCAAACATAAATATGGTTTACGTCATTTTAAAGTATTTCAGCATCATTAGATTTTTTTAATAATACTAAATATTTTAGTAAGTTACATAATATTTGTAAAAAAGCAAACTGCTTCATTTACATCAAAACATATAAGTAGACTATTCCACTCAACTGAAGCTATACTTAATATAGTTCCATGATAATCATAATTTTTTATATCATAAATTTGTTCCTTAAAATGTAAAAGATCAAATACTAAAACAGATAATTTAACTAACGCGGCTGGATGGTACATACGATCTAACGGCATAAGTGTACAAGTTGGGGATACATAATACTTACATTGAGAAAACAAGATCTAAAAATGATTCAGATCAGTTGTATAGCAGATTAAATTTAACATATAAAGGTATAAAAAATCAGCTAAAATTTGGAGATTTGGAGTAACAACATTTTTAAGCGACACCCGTTTAACATTTGTAAGATTAAAATCACCAAGATTAAGAATTTACAGTTAAAATTATTTTACATAAGGTTGTCAATAATGTTTATACGTGAGTTATAAAACCTTTATCAGATTCATGTGAAAAATAAACAAAACATAAAATTAATGAGCAAGTTTTAAAATTAATTTTTACAAATAGCTGTTCAATTATGTTTTTAAGAAGAATTAACCGATAGGTATTCAATTGATTCTTTACTGCAATAAGCACATTGCCGTCTTCTATCTGAATACTATGTAAACTACAACAATTACAGCGAAATACTTGGTAATAAGGTCAAGTCCAAGTTTTGAATTAATTTTATGAGCATACGTAAACTATGCCCAACGGTCCTTTTTTTGTAAACTGCGCCCGAAATTTTATCTATGTTAAAAAGGTATAATGCAAACTGCGCCCGACAACTTAAGCTATACCCAGATTGTAAAATACAAAACTTTTGACTTATTAAAGGTTTTATGATTGTGCACTTTTTCAATTTATTGTATTACATAAACTTTATTTTCGTCTAGATTCTAGAAATACTCACACGTTATCGAATACATATTGCATTTTAAAACAAAATAAAAAAAATTCGAAAATTTATAAAATTTAATTAATAAATATAATAGTGGTCAAACTCTAATCTGATCTCTAATTTGAAATTTTGAGGATATTAATATGGTATTGCAATAATCATCAAATTATCGCACAATTAAAAAACATATAATACATATTATATAATATAATATTTAATCTTAAGGAAATTATATTATAAAAAGTATATTAAATCCAAACATGGTAAAAGAAATTATTTTAATTCAATTTAAAAAGTTAGCAAGCATACCAGCGTACAATTTGAAAAAGTTTGGTACCGGTAACGTAAATGATCTATCGTACTTTTACAACTTTTTTTGACGATCTCCTGTCAACTGTTAATTACAACAATCATTGTATTAGCAATTATCACACTTATAATAATTTACCAGGTAATAATATACGAAAACCCTTTTTCCCATAATAATAAGAGTACCAATTGCATATATATGTTTAACACAATTATATGGAGTTAACACAAGGTTTTTATATCTACTTTTAACCCATCAAAGAATGAACTAAAAATCTCACTCAAATTTAATAATTGGATCATTTTTTTTTTTTTTTTTTTTTTTTTTTTTTAATTAGAAACTACATACAAAAAAAACACATATTATTGTTAAACTAATAAATTCATAGCTCTGCTTAGAATCTGATAATATTGAAAATACATTCTACATTTTTTTTTATAAACATTTAACGTTAAAATTTTGATAAAATTCGTCATAATTACGAAAACTTGCAAATTAATTTGAAATAATTTTTTCGACAATATTCAAAATCGGGAAGACCTGCAGTCATTTCTTTCTACCACTTTAACCTCTGCTAACGTGTGTACAACTGACATTTGTTAATATTGTTAAAATAATAATATGACACGACGTAAAAGTAATAAGAGAGCATCGCTGTAGGTTATTATTCATTATAAGAATATCATCGACACGCGAGCGCTTTCGAATCAATATATCAAACTTTCTATTGGAAATATTATAATAGGTACGAAAAAAAAAAACGTGCGAAAAAAAAATCAACTCCTAATCCGGGCTCACTATAAGGTTATAATTATAATAACGAAATTAGTATAAAAGACACCTACTGCGCACGGTTATCGACGCCGCTGCCGTGGCATTATGTTAATATTCATATACATCGGCGTACATAGTATAGGTATGTGTGTATATATATTTAGATGAATGCTTAAAGGTACTTTAAACCACATATTTTATAAATAGATATGTGTACCTTTACATAGTCTATGCGCGTGAATGTATAATGAAGTTCGACCGGTTTATGTAGTCGTTATTTATTATTATTATTATTTTTTTTGTTTTCGTTTTTCCATACCGATAAAAAAAAAATCATTGATCTCTGTCGCGTTCTCGTCGAAACAACATCGCAGTTTTGCTACGTTTATGCACAGCGGCTGTATCTCGCGAACACAACTTTGTCCTGCACAAATATAATATAGTAAAGTTTTATCATATCGGTATTAATAATAATATGACGTCTGTTGTTCACGTTTCGTTGGCCGCCGTCTTCGGACTTTGCTTGCTAGCCATCAACGTTTCCAGTCAACTTTTACCGGAAAACGCCATATCGAAATCCACGGAAATCATGAGTGACATCCTACTGAAGGTATGTAGTCAATTGGCTGACGACAATAGACGCTAGACGTAGTTTGATTCTAAAATAATCGAAATACACTACAACAAATCTGTGTAAAAGGTTAATTGCCAAAAATGCATCATAATTTATTTTATTTTTTTTTTTTTATATGATTGAGTAACTCAAAATCTAATTTTCGTAAGTTTTAAATATAGTATATAAAGACCAATTTTTTAAATTTTTAAAAAAAATGTATTAACCCCTTCTACTATAAATTATTTAGCCAATAATTTTTCTAAAAATGTTGATGTATAAAATTAAAAATTTTAACGAGTAATTATTGAATTATTTAACTTTGTGTTCTATACTGATAAAAGATCCAAATATTCTATATTACATCTTTCCTATATTTATGTAAAATTATTTTTAAGGACTATTATTCTTAGTATAAATATTTCAATCATTAAGAAACTATTCGTTTGAATTTTGAATTAGGATATCAAAATCAAAAAAAAAAATAAAAAAAAAAAACCACTAAATAATTTACAGTAAAAACAGGAAAATAATGTATTAAAAACAGAAGTTTATATCACTGCAGGATACTCTGTAGTCCATAGGTATTGTAAAAACTTTAAAGAATTTTAAAATATGGTTCTTAAGTATATTTAATAATTCCTAAAATCATAATTTGAATACTCATTATTTAAAGTAAAAAATAGGGATCAACATGCTTGTTAATTAAATCCCTGTATACCGGTACCTATAGACTTTGGCAATTATAAAAACGATTTTTTAAACTTGACTTATCTCATCGCAGGCTACGACTGAAGACCAATACAACTATGTGGTGTCCCCGTTCGCGAGTTCTGTGATTTTGGCACTAGCAGCCGAAGGAGCTGACACAGAAACCAAGAACCAACTCGTAACAACCATGGGCGGTGAGCTGCCAGACAAGAATTCCTACAAAGAAGTTCTCATGACCATCAAGGTATGTAGTCATCAAAACACGTATACATAAATACATATATGTATGTATATTCGACAGAAGCCATAATAAGTAAATAGATAATTAAATCATATCCCAAATATGGGAACGGCAAAATAACAATATAGTGGTTATAATATATGAACAATGTTAGTGTACCTACATACAAAATTATATGGCATATCAACTGTATCAGATTTTTTTAATTACATATTTGTGATATATGTAATACACAGTGCTCGACACAACTTTAATTTTACGCACTAAACTACAATCCTGCTTATTCTGTTGTCCTAATAGTATGAGATATTATAACGTCATCTGATACCTTAATAGTAGACAAAAAATTCAATAGGATTAACATTAAATGAACGTCTTGGAAATACAAATAAAATAATTTTATTATTGTTGTAGCAATTTTATACCTACCTTCTGATACCACTGCTATATAATAATACGTCGTATAATAGAAAAATTTAATCGATTTTACAAATATAGTTATAATAGGCATACAATATTTAAATGAAACTATTATTATTATTTATTTTATGTCGCAGGGCTATTCACTAGACGGATTCGCGCAGAACAAAGTCGTTCTGAAGAACTTCCTATATGTTTACAAAAACTACAGCGTACATGAATCGTTCGCTCAACTCGCCCGGGACTATTACCTAACTGACGTGAGGAGCGTCGAAAGACCAGACCTGGCAACAAAACGAGACGCGACCAACAACATGTTCTTGAACGACGATAACACCTCCGGTAACTTTACATACTAACTTATGAATCTTTTGGGTTCAACTCGTCAAAAAACAAAAAAAAAAAAACCAATAAAATTGTGCAATTATTCATAGAAGAGTACTCTCTCCCTCCACTTTCAATAAAAATTTCATAAGGATACTTGAATGTATATTTAAAACAATTTCACGGAAAAACGTTGTCATATTAAAAAGATATGTTTTGTTTATATATACCTATAAGGATTAAGAATACGCAATTGTAGTTTGAAAAAGCCACTGCAATATAAAATCTTTGTATATAGGTATAGTAATTAGTAATTATATATCATAACCAGAAATATTAAATAATTTTTGAGGAGGCTATATAATAATTTACTGCATAATATGACCAGCAGGATCATCACTCCGCGCCCCCAAATATATAACCATTAATACTGAAATACTTAAAATTATGTTTATTATATTAAACTTCATTTTAAACATTATCATTATTTTAAAACATTGTTTTTGACTACGGTCATCATCAACTGAATACTAATTTTAAAAAAATTTTAAAAATTAATCTCGTGTAATTAATTAGTGTTTTTCGTGTGATTAGCTAAAAAATTTATTTCTTAACAAAATATTATGTTTTCATCAAAATCAATTTGCATGATAATAAATTAATTTTTATAAATCACTAAAACATTGGTTGATATACTAGTTGGGTATTAGGGTATATCATTAAAAAGTCAAGGATGTTTTCAAATATATTATAAAGAAGAAGGAGCAATCAATTTTTCATTACACATGTTTATATTTTATTGTATGATGTTTTCTTGAATAAATTTATACTCGTATTAATAAATAATAAGCTAACAAAAAAAAAGTAAAATAATCTAAAATTTGCTTGGGACTCATTTATTACTTAACTAAGCTTACTTCCCAATACGGTATTAAATTGTAATAATAATTAAATTATAATAACTGGTATTTCATTTATTTCAATAAGAATTTACTGTTTTATGCGTTCCACTTAAAAAAAAATAGTAGGGGTACGTAACAATTTCTAAAAAATTACTTATTATGCTATTTATATTCACTTCAGATAAATTTCTCATTTCGGTTTTATTTTTCTTATGGCAACGCAGGGTAATTACCTCTAGTATAATATATTATGTATAATTTATCCCGTTTTGCGAATTTCGCGCTGCGGAATCCGGCTGCTGCTGGCAAAATCCACCTACTAATATAACGATGAGAGTGGTCTTGACGCGTCTATCGAACTGGATTCGATACAAGTTCGTGCATCAAGTCGTAACGTACAAGACATGTTATACATATATAAATTGCAATTTAGGTTACATATAAATAAAATAAACAGCGTACACCTGTTCTGGTCGGAAAACCTGTAAATTAATTAAGTGCAAAATAAGTTCTCCCACACCTTTTTATCGTCAGAACAGCTGTTCGACATTGAGACAATGCAGAGACTCGTCTCTTTTTAATTTTAATACAATCAATATGATTTATACAACGATTTTACACGATTTCTACTCGATGTTTTATAGCCACTATTATACTCGTATAATATATATCATTATATGTATAATATGTACGTACTTGCTAAATTATTTATTATGTCAATATAAAATTGAATTCATATTTTCATGTTTCGAGTTCCTTATTAAATAAATTTACACCATCATAATTTATATTATCTATACTAACCAACCGGTTTAGAAAAATTGTTAAAAATTCTGAACGCAAATCGAATGGCACCAACCAATTTAAAATTACTGTGATATAAAATAACATAAACAAAAATATTATCAAAGGAGTCAGTCAACTAAAATATCAAAAAAAACATCAAAATATTTATGTCTCACGATATAGTAAAAATATGGTCACGGTAATATTTCTGCAGTAAATAAATTAATCGTTATTTTAATGCTAGTGTAAAAAAAAATTAATTTATATCGCCTTATATTTTTTTAAATAAAACAAACAGTATTTTGTTGATAAAGAAATATTTTACCACTAATTTTAATACAACTATTCACGAACTTAAATGAAAAGCAACTAAGAATAAGCTGCATGTGAAATATCTTCGACATGTGATAATTTTATTGAAGACATTTAACATTAACGCAATAATTACCTTTTTTCTCAAAATCTTAATCCCACCTCAAATAAAAATAAATTACTGGATTCCGAAACAAATCTGATGTTTCTATATACTCAGTGCATAGTGATTGTTTTATTAAAAAACATTCATTGTTTCAAAATTAATTAACGTTTTTATAAATGTTTTTTGCATAAATTTAAATCATTTCATGTCAAAACAAAACATTTTATAGAAAACATCTGAATACATCATATCCTAGAAAATTAATGGATATAATAGTTTTTATCAAATGAACAAAAACACTTTAACCAAATGAAGGCAATTTACTAACTGCTAATCCAAGAAACTATTTCACAAGTTTCAATAAATATGTATTAAACATTATTATATGTTATATAATTATACAGAAAATTGATTTTCCAAAAATCTGTATATTGTAGAGTTTAAAGAGCACGCTCTATTGATCTTCAACGGTTTATCTTTGGAAATGAATTGGCCAACAAGCACGTGGCACAAAACTTCAGTATCCTGGAACGGCAACGTGGTCAAAGCGTTCGGCGCAGCTGGCAATTTCGCCATCGGCCAAATACCTTCACTCGACTGTACAGCGTTTAAATTGCCCTACAAGGTACATAACCTAACCTAACCGAAAACCTCTTAATTAAATATTTTAAAAAACAAAACCAATATTTTAAAGTAAAAATGTAAGTAGTAATTTATTTATTTATTCCGGTTTCAGAAATGTAGATATTTTAGAATTTATTGTTTCTCAGTTTTGTTGAATCTTGTATTAATTGTAACTAAATTTAAATCAGTGTTAACCAACGTTTTGGTTTAGCTTTAATATTACCAGAATCAAAAAAAAAAAAAAAACAGACGAAAGTTCCATGTCATAGAATAAATTCTGACAGGATGAAATGGGGAAAGAAAATGCAGCGTTAAAAAGACGCTACACAGTAATGTATTGTCTCCGTCTTACAAACGTACAACACAACGAATTTGTATTCTGCGAAATCAATTTTGTGTTGTTAATTTTAATATTAGAATGAATTTATCTATGTTAAAACCTACAGGTAAAAACATTATGTATTTTATTTGTATGAAGGTTTTTTATAATATTTTATATTTTAAACGACTAATAAACATTTTAAAACTGTTATATTTTACATAATAAAAACTCGTTTAATATTTAAAATATCCAAAAAAACACGTACGTATAAAAATAGATAATGTTCTTATCTTTAGGTTTTATCATACTTTAATTTATTCTAATATTAAAACTAACAACACAAAATCGGTTATACTGACGCAAATTCACTATGTTATACGTTTTTAAGATGGAGATTACACATTACTGTGTAGCGTCTTCATAGTGCATACTACCAAATATGTTATTTTTATTACACAAAATACGACGAGGTTTTTTACTTTTTTGATATAGATGTGAGAGACAGAGAGTAAAAATGACCGACAATCTAATATAAAAGCCACAAATAAATACATTTACATGAATAAAATAGCCTTTGTGAATACTGAACGAATTTAATTCTTCAGAGCTGCAGTGTGTAATATACTAACCCATGTATGCTTCACAATAATATTCACCCATTGCTCCCACTGAGATAAAAAGAACTACCAAATAACATTTTGTTCCTTACATTTTTCACTTCTTGTACCTATTTTTATGGGTGCCCTTACTCATTACTAAAATATAAAATACATAATATTATTAAGTATATCAGACAGTCTGATATACTTAATAATAATATTATATATAGTCTGATTCAGACTACACGTAGCAATAATTATCATTTTCATGCGTGTTTTAGAACACTGACTACGCCTTATTAGTGCTTTTGCCGAAAAACAAAGATATATCATTGAACGAAGTACTGAAAAAACTTAAACCAGAAAACGGTATTGAAAAACTAACGAGAGCGATGACGATGAAACCCGGTTTCGTCACTATGCCATGTTTCCAAAGCAGTAACATTACTCACCTGAAAACGGTTTTACAACAGGTATCTACAAAATGGCTATCATAATAATAGTAATATTTATATAATTTTAATTAATTAATGGTAAGTTTTTATTTAATGAGAGTGTCTAAATAAATATGAGCCAAAGAGGGTATAAAGAGTGTAGGAACCTCCTGTATTCAGATCTGTGCATGTCTATAAACGTATTGAAAAAAACACCACGGCCAACCGCTGTAAACAGATATAATATAGCTAAAAATATTAAATTGCGCACTTGTAATACCATCACTTAAATTCGGTACAGTATTATGGAATCCAACGACAATATTTAGATTTATTAATATTATTACGTTCTTATGGTTATAAAACCATTACCAAGTTATTTAGTCATAATATTAACGAGTATGACAAATTTTCGGATTTAAAGTCGCTAAAAACCAGATGGTCAATTTTTTTTTTACGCTACTTTTTACATAAAATCTTGAAAGGACGATATCCACAACTCTGAATCACTACAGAAAATCGGTTTGAAAGTTTATATTGAAAATTCCAAGCATAATTCTTCCTTTTTGATTTAACATAAAATTATTTATCCGATAATCCGGTGTACCAAATACTCACAATGTGCTATTATTTTTTAAATTTAAAAGATAATAAAAATTAATAATAAAATTTATTATTTTTTTACCCTTGTTTTAAGTTTTAACCATAATAAAAACGTGTATGTATTTATTATTGCATTTAAATCACTAAAGTATATTTTTATTTTTATTTATCCATCTATTGAATACTGTAATTTTCAGCTTATTTACGTATTTATTTATTTAGAGTGTTTCGAAAAAAAACGCCAGATTTAAAACTGCTATAGATCAAATTTATTTATAAAACATATCATTCTCTTTAAAAGAAATTAAGGTTTAAACATGGAAATAATATCGCGCATATTCCCCTTTACTAGCCCTACACGCGATCACTTGGTCCATGAAATTCTTCTTCGACCAATTACATATTGCCCCATCAAGTACGTGACGACCAAACCTACCCACTTCGATCTAGCGATTTTACACCGTGTGATTTTTTCCCTATGGAAATACAATAAGTCACGAGTTTACCAGGACAAACCACGCAAATTGTTAGATCCTAAAGAAGAAATTGTTCTCTGTAAATCCGGCGTTTTTTTAAGACACACTCTACATTAAATAATTATTATTGTTATTAATAATTTATAATATTACCTTATCACTTTTTTTTTCATCTTTCCGTTTCTCATCTGCAGGGAACCCAAACGAATACCATATTCACTGAATCAGCGGATTTATCAAAACTATCGTCGGACAAGCTGTATTTAGACGACGTAGTCCAGCAAGCCGGCATCCGTGTATGCGTCGAAGGCTCCTCTTCTTACTCGCTGACTAGTATGTCTTACCAAAATAAAAATACGGACTTGACCCGTCTGCACCGGAACGACCGCCGTCGTATCATCGTTAACGGCTTACCAAACGTTTCAGGTTCCGCGTTTACGTCACAAAGGGTCATCAAGGAGTCAATAGTCGTAGACCGGCCGTTCGCGTACGCACTTTACAACGTAGCCAACGGGATTGTGTACGCGGCCGGAAAATTGGAGAAGCCCGTCTGGGAAGAGACCGACGACGAAAGCAATGGTTCCGACATCGAGCCGATCAAAATTTAAAGAGGACTGAAGCGAATATGTTATATATTACAATAACTGAAGTTCGGATTATGTTTTAGTTTTAAAAAAAAAAAATTTTTTTTTTTAACACACTATAAATTTCTAAAAGAATTAATTATAATACGTACAACCATGGATGATTTTAAAATATGCCAACAATATAAATCGTTGTAAATTAAAATAAATTCGACAAACTCTTTAACTATACATTCTTGAAACCATACGTAATGAGATATTTTTATTTTCGGAATTCTTCCCAACAAATAGAATAAAATAATGATTTCGAATTTTATATAAAAAAAAAAATTAATAAATACGTTGCGGTAACACAATAGAACGGTCATAACACTCATAACGTATGATGATTACATAAGTCTTTTAGAACGTGTTGTCACGACATGTAATTTCTCATCCGTATCATAAGATTACCTATAAATCCATAAACAAAACATTACAAAATAGAATTAATTTGATCTGACCCCAGGAATAAATGTGGCGTAATAAAAAAAAAGATGTTATAAACTTTTTAATTATTAATATCAAACTCATAGAATAAAACAAGTTTTATAAATCAAAATAAATTAACAACGAAAAAATAAGTAAAATAGAATATCGTATTGTAAGTAGAAACACATAACATAGTCGTATATCAATACGAATCCAATGTATGGCAGATCCATCTTTGAAATGGACCAATATAAAAATAAAATAAATATACTTATTCTGCATCATCCGAACTTCATAATTGTAATATAATAATAGTTGTAGTATAGTCACTGCCACTTATAACTTGTTTGGCGGATATAATAACCATTATAAGTTATTAATTATAATGGTCGACGGGGATTGGTGGTAATTGGACGACGACTATTTTAATAATATAATTTTATCATAATGATCGAACATTTTAAATAATATTATATTATAATACTTATTATAGCATTTTTACGTCAACGTAACACTGCTTATATAATATTTATATTTATTATTAAATTATTAAACAAATTTTATTTATTTCTACGAATATAATAAATTAGATCATATTATTTAAATATGAATTATTTTTGTAAAAAATTGAATTTGTTATTATTTTATCTCTACAGATAGAGTTATATTTACATAGCCACTAAAGAAGACCGTATTTAAACATTTTTCTGTTACAATTTATTCAGAAATATGTAAATTCTCTAAAGGAACGAATTCAGATTCAGCCTACAATGACTCTAAATTGCCTAATTACGGCGCCGTTTTAAATTAAACTAATACATTATTATATTATATATTATTATTTATGATTTACGAAAAAACCACATTAACAAAAATGTTTGCCATTTTTTTTTTTTTATACATATATTCAAAACTCATAATTTATCTTACATAAAATATTCAAACCTAAGGTATACAAAGAATTTTTTTATGAATTTTTAACTACATTAAATAATATATAATTTTCGAGATTTTTACAAGTTTTGTTAAATTAACAAAATATTGTAAGATAAATTCTCGATCATTTTTAATTTAGAAATTGACAACTTATTAAAAACCCTGTACTAAATTGTCTAGCTTTTTGAGGTGTTCATATATTTATTTATTGACATTTATAAAAAAAAAAAAAAACTAAAAAAATCAAAAGTTTCAATTGTCTATAAATAACTCAAAAAAGAGTTAAAATTTATTTAAAATTATACCATTTATAAAAATGATTATTTAAAAACTTAGTAAAAATGTCAAGTTTTAACAGTTATTCGTTTTTAAATGCAATAAAATAAAACAATCAATTTTATCAAAAATAGGTATAGCGTAAAAATTTCCATCTTTCCTTAATTTTAACTTCTCTAGTAGGAAATAGATCCAATTTTCTGTCCAAAACCACAACATTACAAAATTAAAGCATTTTATTGACTATTAATTGTGTACATAGACATAAATAAAAAAACCCCACACATCATTGTAAAATCAATACATTCATTACTCCAATTAAAATCTAAAATATAGTACTATAGATATTCTTAGTAACTTTTTTTATTCAGAAAAAATAAATAAAAATTATGGGAAAATAATCATTTTTACACGTAAATCCAATATTAATATTAAAATAATTGTTATATAACCACAGAAACCTTAAAAGTTTAACGTATATTATTAATTATTTTTATTATATAATAGGTATATACATATATTAATTTTAATATATTACCTACCTATTTATATCATGAACTTATTTACATTGTTTTACGATGAAATGATATCATCTTAAAAGTTAAAAATAATAATACAATAATAACGATAATTTTAAATTTTGGTGACAACGATTTATATTATTAATCACCATACTTTATACGTATATGTAGTAAGTACTTATACCTACTATTCTTGTCAACGATAACATTGCATTCTTTAGTAACCATATACAATATAATATGTATAGTTTATATTTTTATTTAATTATTGATGATGAAAATCTTAATCAATTTATCTGGTGAAAAACTGAATTTATTTATCACAGCTAGACGTCCCATTTTAAATGAGCAAAAATAATCAATGGTAGTGAACAACCTAAAAATGCATGCAAGAAGTTTAATTCCTGTATCTATATTCACCTCATCGAGCAATATAAAAAAAAAATTTAAATAAACATGAACATTTCGATTTTTGATACTATAGTTACATCTATTGTTATAAAGCAAATACAACTTATTTTCGAATAATTAACTATTCTAATAAATAATAATTGTTTACATAATATCCGAAACTATTGTCTATACACAGTTAACACGATTTGCTTGAAACTTAATTGAGTGTTTTTTTTTTTTTTTTTATTATTCTATAAGCGCTAAACTAGCAAAAATAATGATTTAAAAATATACAGTAGTGATGTTCCAAGCAATTTCAACACTACTATTGGTGCTGCAGTCGATTATCAGTCATCCAATCTCCAATAACAGTAAGGGTCTAAAATTCATCATATTCATTTCGACAACAATAATGTTTTTAACTTATATTATTTTTTTTACTAAATTACAAAATGTATGCATATGGTTATGAACGTTATATTATGCTTAATTATAGTTTCAGATGAAGAATATCTGCATCCGGCAAAAAAAAATGTTGACGGATTTTATAGTGCCCCACCTTGCGGCGAAGGACAATTCCGAGACCCGCTCGAGATCTTGGGTTTGTTATATGTATATTGTATACGTATATATTTTCTATTTTTTACTTTAATTTCTAAAACAGTGTGAACTATAGGTTTAATACAAGTTTAATATAACACATAAGATATACTGTAATATTATAGATAGTGGCTAAAAATAAAAATTTAATATAAGCTTATTAATAGTAGAATTAATCTGTTTAAAAGTCATAAATATTTTTATAATTAAAATATTTAAAATTATTAAAATTATAAATAACATACCTAACTCGTAAACAGATCATTTTTTTCAACTTATTTTATGGTTACGATGATATTATAATGTTCTCATTCATTTCGGAACAAATCTGTAAAATTGTTCAGTAATTTTGTTAATTTTTTATAACATATTATTATTAATAAAATAAAAATAAATAAATAAATAGGTACGAAAAATTTTAAATTGAAAAACAAATTCTAAAAATTCTAAACAAATATCAAGGTCACTCAAGTAGTTGCATTTCAATTGTCAACTGTTACACATATTTGATAGTTGATGTGTGGTACTAAACTATAAAATTATATAATTTTCTTACAATTACGTCTAATTAATTATAGGTAAAGGCGACAGTGAACGCCTAGATATATAAATACACTTTGTTCCGATTGGTTTTATTTCGATACAGATAGCCGTATTATAACTATCGTTTTATGATATGTATAACCAATAATATAAATACTTACCTAAAAGTGTAATTATGGCATACTAAAAATAACAATAATTATAATCCTCATTTACATTAAAACAGTGTAAGCTTCTAGCTAAGTAGTATTCCATTTTCGGTTGAAATTATAAATTAAGTTTGACCGCATACTCCTTTTTTCTTCGGAATTGGTTGTATCCTACTCTACGTCCCATTACATTTGAAAATGACAGTGATAATTGAGAACATTGACTTGAAAAATATTATTCCCTGCATCCGAATTCCGAGGTATGACCCGAAACGCCGTGTGCATTCTGATGATTCTAAATTTCTGAGTTATACAATATAATATTATTAATCTCGCCGTTTAATTTTTTTAACACGGTCAATTCATCATTCCAGGCGTTAAATTCCCGGAATCAAAAATCAAACAATTATGCAAAGCTAACGTGTACATGTACGCTGATTCGATTTCTGACGTACATTTTCCACCAGACGCCGTCAAGCTCTGCACATCCGTGTGTAAATGTTATCAAGAGTCGATGTACATTGAACCGTCAATAAACGTGACGTTAATTAACTCCAATTGCGATTACACCGGTGATACAATTATCGTAGAACATTCAGCGAACGAAACTCACGCAGCCACGTGTCCAGACCTAAGCACCGCGTGCGTATGCTCGTACAACGTCCGGTGCAACCGCAAGACAAGACTAATGAAATACACGTTAACCGCGAACGAACGAGGATACCTCAGAGTAATGGTAGCAGATTGTGGGGCATCTGCATGTGTCACTTGAGTCCTTGGCTCGTCCGTTTATGCCAAAAGTTAAGCAGCTTTGGATGTCGAACGTTGTTGTTTTCAGTTTTTTGACGCATCGCAGATGGTTGGTTGATAACACTCACAATATGCACAGAGGCAGAACTCGCTAACTACTATAATAAAATATATTGTTTAAAATTATATAATATTTTCTCTGACACTAATTAATATGTTTGAACTCAGATTCTTGTAATTTTTATTATTTACTTAGGTTAATTAATAATAAATTAATAAATTACAAACGATTTTTTTAAATAAAAAAGCTTCAAGTTAATATAGACAAAATATAGTTTAAGTATTGGTATTTCAATTACATTTAAATATTGAATGACAGTTAATTATAGAATAACCAGTGGCGTAACTACGGGATGGCAAGGCACGTCACGGCAATGCCCCGGGGCCTTGGACTTGGAGGGCCCCGCAAAAGCCTTCGACCCTCGTAAATACAACTTGTATTATAAAAAATGATATACAAACATTAGAATTTTATTTTAAAATACACAATACATGTACTGTTATTACTTATTAGGATAGAAAAAAGTGAAAAACAGCCAATTATTAGAAAACAGACAATGTTTATTTTTTATATTAATATCACGATGTGTATATAGAATCATTAGAATCTTGAATTATTATGCGATAAAAATAACAATATCGTCGTACCACTCGTACACATACTATCCAGTATCCACTAACATAGATTAAATATACTAGTATATTTAATCTATCTCACTCATCACTAATTGTAATTGTACAACGATTATTATTATTGTCATGATATTAATATTAACATGGTCTATTTTTCGTTTTGTTCATCTACACGCCATTTTACATTTGATTTTCGAATCGTCTGGACAACTTGCATAAAACAAGTAAGTTTAAATTTTAAGTTATAATGTTTGTTATATCGTGTGTTTAAAAAGTTTAGAAACACTTAAATTATTGTTTAAAAATTGTAATATACCTACCTAGTACCTACTATACAGCAATAAAGTGGCTACTTTTTTTTTAACTTTGATATTATAAATATATGGAGGCCAACACTTTATACTGCCCCGGGGACCCAAATTTATAGTTACACCACTGAGATTAACTGACAGTTAACACTATCTACCACAGTTAAACTGCTTATAGAACCCTAGATAACATAAATTTCAGTTTAAATTAAATGCTACAAATTTTGCAGGTTATCTCAATAAACAATATTTGTTGGTAAATTTAGTTAAAAATCTTAAATAAATTGTTTTTCTAATAATTATCACCAATAGTTACACATAATATAATTATTGTGTTATTAAAATAAATTAAAAAAATTATTATTTATTTATGTTTAAAATCATTGTGTCTATACATCGTAGGATCGAACAAAAAAAATAAATGATTTGTCAGTATTTTAACTGCAGTTCATAGTTATAGACGTTAAAGTCACTGTAATATAAATAAATATGATTTTAACTTTACTATATTATCCAATTTACTGATTGTACTTTTCTGAATAGATTGTATACATATTATGCTTTTATGAATAAAAAAAAAAAAAACTTAACTGCTAACGTGTTATTAAATCAACTGGAAAAGTTAATAATATATGGTAGATTCATTAATAACTTAGTTAAGTTACTAAATTAATTAACAAATTAACTAATAAATTAAAAATGTTAAAAATAATTAAACTTATAACTTAGCTAAAATCTAATATACTACAGTGAAACCTCAATATAGTGGACAACCACGGGGAATTAAAAATTGTCCACTAAAGAGAGTTGTCCACTATTAAGAAAACCTTTACTTAGTGGAAATTTTCAAAAAATTACTAAATGTCCACTATAGGGAGACACTATAGGAAATTGGTTATGTGTACACTGTATATGAACATATACATTGGAATATTAATTTATTATTAATTATGTATGTATATTATAATATAAATATGTATATGTATGTATGTAGTATAAAAATGCTTATAAAAATGTTTAATGATTATGTAAAATTAAAAAAATCTGTAAGTTTTTTTTTGTGTAAATTTTTTCTGCTCTTCACAATGAATTTGTAAATTGGCTACCATTGATAATGCGATTTCATCCTCTTCATTTTTAAAATATGTTTTTAAATTATTTATTGTTTTCCAAACTTCTTCAAACGTTGGATTGTATGTAATTAACGACCGAACACATAACCGAACCATTAGTAATTTTTCGAACAGGAAAACCATTAAGATAAAATAAAATATGAACGAATATATAACAGATAAATATAGTATTATTATTAAACGTTTTCGATATGTACATGTATTGTGTCCGTTTATGAGAGGTAATTTTTAATTTGGTACCAGTTTATTGTGTCCACGTCCACTATTAGGAGTGTCCACGACTAAGAAGTTATAACTCCTATTATGCGCATACATTTTTGCCGGGGAATTTCGAAGTGTCCACTATTGGGAAGGGTCCACTATTGAGAGGTATCCATCAATAAAGGTTTCACTGTATTTGCATTTGACAAATAAGATATAACTTCAATGGCTGATACCGAATTGATTCCCGAGCTCCAACTCCATGTGCTGAACGGTGTTCGTCAATTGTGCTGGATTTGGGACACTACCTGTATAGTATACATCTATTGCGCCGAAGAATTTGACAATGACACAAACTGTCTTAATTGGTTTCAATTTTTATAATAATTATATTATATTATATTAATTAAATATTAATTTATATTATTATTAATATTATATTAATTATATTATTTTTATAATAATTTGTATACAAATAAACAAAAATATATACATTACACACAATTTATACAATTTATAATCTAAAAGTCAATGACTGTAAAAGTTTTAAAATATTTAATATAAAAGTGACTTATCTGGCAATATCAACTTTATCAGATTGTTAGGCAATTAAAAATACGTCGAACAAATGGTCAAATATCATATTTAATTTTGCCATGTCTAATAATTTGTCATGTCGGTTAATTGTATTATACACGTTTATAATATTATATAATATTTATATTATAATAATATATTTAAGAATCGATCAGCGCAATTGATTACCATGCCTCAATTAAATAACGTGACAACTTTTTTATATTCCCCGTGAACATTCGATTGTTTGTGTGTGAGCTCCAATAATTGGATCAACAAAATTTGTAAATGATTTACTATTATAATATTAATATAATAAAATTGTAAAGATAAGTAAGCATAGGTTGTCCGTTTAATCTAACCTAACCTATAATAATAGTATAAATAATAATTTTAGTAGATCACATACTAAACTCGATTTTTGCTAAGTAGGTCTCATACTAAATGAATACAAAATATCCTTATAAACATAGCCTGATAGATGTTCACCGATCAGAATAGATTTCCAATTACAATAATTTTCAACATATCCATTACTACTAACCTACTCAATAAATTTAATAAGGTATTCTAGAAATAAAACATACCAATTAATAATTACTATACAACAGGGTGACTTTCATAATTTTTTTTTCCTTAAACTTTAAGAGACAAGTTTATCTTTTAAAATTAAATATTGGAGGCGGTATTTATTTTAGATTTTTCGACAGATATATTAGAATAACTTACAAACTTGACAGATTCTTTTACAATCTAAAATATTTAAATATTAAAAAGGAGGTATTTTAAAGCAAGATATACCTAAAATCTATCTACTATATTGTCTATATATAAGAAAAATCTTAAACTATATTAACAATAATGCAAAAAATATATAATATGAATAATGAATTTATTTTCTTATAACACACAATATTGTAAATCAGTTTGTTTTTGTTCATAATTAGCTTTGAGACCAATAGTATTAATAAGTCTTCTTATTAAATTATAATTACTGAACCTCCTTAACTAATAAATGTCAAAAATAATAAAAATTAATAATTCATGCAAGACAATGTGTTTTCAATTTAAGTAGATAATCACGCGTTTGGTTGTATTTTGTATAATAATTATTCTTGATTAATAAAAGATATGAATCAACAATTACACCTAAATAAAACAATAGTTTAATTAATATTTATTATTCTATCAAATCCCTTAACATATAAACAAAAAAATTGTATAATATACATATATATAATATATATGAAATATGAATATACATTTACATTTACATCCCAACCAACAAAATAAAAATGTTTGACACTAAAACTAATATAACAAATAATTGATTTACAAAAATGATTAAAATAAAGTTGATACAAATAATATTCTGTGAAATAAAATAATTCATTAACATAAATTTAAAGACCCATAATATAAATCCATCAAATACTATGAAATTGTATAATAGCTAATACAACTATTGAAGTTTTAAATAAAATTTACAAAATTCAATTTGGGTCAACAATTATAATTGGAATTAATAGAAATTTAGAAAAAAATACATAAAAATACTGTAGACAAATTAAAAATAAAAAAAGTTTAAACAAATCAAATATCCCAATATTTTAATTAATAGAATAATAACTGTAGTAATGAATATTATATATTTCATTATTATTAATATTATTACTATAATTTACTTTTACTATTATCTTGAATTTCAAATACAAATATATATCTATATGTATTATTTGTTATTGAGATGGATTATAAATAGTAGTAGGTGTTTGATTTATCTGGAATATTGGATCTGGAGATAATATATTTTCTGATGGTTTACTGTTACTCATTACATTTACATACATATCCTTTATACCTAAAACAACAATGAAAATTATTTGTAACCTAATTAAATAATTGATTTCGTTATTTGTTTAAATAACAAAATAATGGAACACATTTTCCTGAATAGTCTACAGTCTACAATTTAGTTAATAAGTACCTCGCTTTCTTTGAATTTTAAATTGATTATGGTTTTGATTGGCAGGTGAACTATTAGCCACTGGATTGAATTGTAATTCTGAATCTAAAGGAGGAGCAGCTTGTTGAATTGGTTCTTCGGAACCAAAATTTCCCCCAATAGACTAAACAAATAATTTAATATTCTTATAGTGTCTAGATAAAATAATACATTTTTAATGTTATTTACATCAGTATTATTAGAAGGCTTCCAAAATTTGGTTAACCCTCCAAGCCAGGAATTCTTTTCTTTTTGC